GGGCAAAATTCACATCTCACTATATGGTAGAGCACTAATACTAAACTCATCCATTTTTGCCATGATATGGTATGTGGCAGCCTTCTGGCACCAGATCACGTGACGTTGAGAAACCTAAGAAGGAAAGCCACAACATATTTGTGGACAGGAGATGCTACCAGACAACACTTCATAACCAAAGTCGCTTGGCAGTATGTCACGAGGAAAAAGGGGCAAGGAGGATTGGGTGTCCTAGACCCCACAACCCAAATAAAAGCTCTACAAACTAAATGGATCCTAAAGCTCATCACTAGACCTAGCCTACCCTGGAGAATGTTAGCCCTTGATGGGATACAACAACTACCAATATATAACACCCCGGCTAACATGGAAGGTACCTTCTGGATAATGAGYAAATCATGGTCAATGAAAGGAAGAAACCACAACACAATGCACTCAAGAAATGAGTCCCGTTTGGGTTTCTGGAAAGGGATCCTTCGCGACTGGAGAGAGATATTCCCAGCTAAAGTCGGGAAACCGAGCAATAAGGAAGAAATACTAAGACAACCCCTATTCTGCAACCAATGGATAACCAAGGAAGATGGAGGCCCATTCACACTGACTTCAAAGGACACGAAATGGGGAGTATGGCTAGAAAAAGGAATATGGCAGATCAAACACANAAGGAAGATGGAGGCCCATTCACACTGACTTCAAAGGACACGAAATGGGGAGTATGGCTAGAAAAAGGAATATGGCAGATCAAACACATATGGGACAACAACACCAGAGACTGGAAACAAGGTAACCAACTCCGACACCAGCTTAAAGGCTGCCATAGACTAAATCAGAGTCTACAAGAAATCATAGCAGCCATACCACAAGATTGGATGCGGACACTTAAAAAAGACAGGCAGTGGTCCACAGGAGATTGGGCAATTTTACTGAACGAACCCCAACAGAAACATGCACTAGCATACTGGGGCAGAGAAGAGGACAATCCAAACTGGCACATATTTACTATACATGAAATAGAAGAACCGGGTTCAGACTTCAGCAAGATCCACAAAAACCAAACAGCACAAGTTTCAGCAAGAGAAGATAATCTAAGGAAGATAAGAGTTATAGAAAACGAGGAATTAACCATCTATTGCCCCCAAATCCCACTAGAGAACCTTGAAGTAGACCCAGCAGAATGGGCATGGAACATAAAGCAAGGATCCTTAAGAATCAACACCAAATTCAACCTATTACATTACACAACTAGATTAGGCTATAGGCTGAGACGCCGTTCCGTGAACCCGGACCCAATAATAACAGAGAGATGGAAAAGACACATGGATGTAGAACGAGAAACACTTGACCCAATACCATGGAACAAAATAGCATCTATTAACCCGCCCAAATTTAGAAGCCTACAATGGCTAATCCTTTACCTAGCAGTCCCACTGAACCAGTGGCTAAATGTACAAAGGAAAAAAGATGACAGGAATCCGCTCAAAGAGCTATGCGCCAACTGTAGTGAGGGTCAAATATAAAACCTATACCACTGTTTCATACATTGTTCCAGAATGAAACCACTATGGAAAAAGGTAGCAAGTCTATGGAACACAGTAACAGGCACTACCCTCACAAACAACAGCACACTCCTACTCCTAGGTTTCAATAGCCCAGAAAATTGGAAGCCACTAGAAGCTAATTTCTTCAGAATACTTAGAAAAGCTACGCTATGGGTTATATGGCGGAAAAGATGCCAAGAAACAATAGAAGAACAAAAAATGCATACACGAGAAGCGTGGGGACTACTCCAACAACAGGTAGAAACCGAATACTGGACCCTATGGCGCAAGGTACGAAGGAGAATGAAAGAAGACGAAGGCAAAGCAAAGGATCACCGACACAAATTCGAAGAAAATTACCCAGCAAAAGGCAAAGTTGCTCTGATGCATGGCTCAAGTATAGTATTTCGTCTATGGGAAGAACCCCCACCAAGACACCATTCGCAAGACCCTTCAGTAAATAGCATCCCCGAGTCCCTTGAAGCTAACATTTCCACAGACTAAACCGATGTTAAGCTACCAACAGAAACTCACCATTCTAACCAACACTGAAGAATACGGCAGCATAGCACTCCACTTTAGACAGGGACAGATATATCGGACTGGGAAATTAGGCTCAGGAAAAGCACAGACCTAGGATAAGCAAAAGATATAGGGAGGCAAGATTGCAATCAGACTCGACTTCTTCACACTTGTCATGCATGCAAACAGCGAAACAGCAAACTGGCGACGTGCGCCCACACAGTACTCAAAGATATCGTAACCAGGTAGGAGTTCCCTTCAAACTGGCTATGGCGACTGAGCGCCCACACAACTCACTGTTCGCACTCTGGATCACCCTGGATGTCCCACACGCAACACTCTACACGCAACACACACACACACACACACACACACTACTATAGCTATGGCAGCTATGGCTGCCACTATCCTATCGCTACACTACACTTCTCTGCCCACTTCGTCTTCAGGCACATTGCAGACCTCCTCGCACAAGCTGCTGAGGCAGCGCTTCCGCATGGCATCTGCAGGAATGAATGAATGGCTGGACGCATACTTCTGCGCTGCGTTGGTCTGCCCTGTATCCCTTGGCCCACGATGTGCACAGTCCCAGACGGTACTTGCTTGACTGGACCGGACTGGGCTACCTGGGACTGCTGACTGGGCTAGGTGGACTACCGCCACTTGACCACTTGCCTCTGCTGAACACAGGCCAACTCCGAAAGGCGAGTTCTAGAAACCTCTATATTGGCCCTTCGGTCCTGTAGCAGCTACGACTTTGCCCTTTCAGGTAAGTAGCAGCTACGACCTTGACTCCTCAAGCAGCCTACAGCTACCACTTCGGAACTGTCTAGACTCCTAATCTATAGGTCTACAGTTCGATTCCCTTCTACCCTGTGACCTACGACAAATTGCCTACCACTGGCGTTCCTACAGGTCGCAGGTTCAAGTCTACGGGTTGACACTGATACTGTACACAGGTAAGACGGGGATCTAGGGATC